GTGCTCCTGACAGGCCGGTGGTGCCCCTGTCAGGTCTGTGGTGCCCCTGATAGGTCGGTGGTGCCCCTGGTAGGCCTGTGGTGTCCCCGGGCCCCAAGGGGGCATGACCCATGTGACCCCACCTTGGATCCGCCACTGGTTGGCTGGCACCCATGCGAATTCCAGAAGCATCCAAAACTTTTTTATTACGAGCAGCGTAAAACGTGAGAAGTGAAAAGTCAGCAAAAGGTGTGTGTGTGGGGGGGGGGGGGGGGCAGTTAACATTGCTGGCCCCCCATTCGAAAGTGGGGGACCATGGCCCCCTGCCCCCCTGTTCCTACGCCTATGCCAGTAACCGATCAACTAATGCAAGGCCGCCTAACATAAATTGTTAGTTTACGCCCTTTACGCATTCTGCTGCGCCAGTATTGTCTCTCTTTGCAGCGCGCGCTGCCCCTAAGCTGCCACTTATTGCTTCTCACAAAATTTCCTTTCATTGGGTGGAGGAAAATTGCACTCAATAACGATGAAGCACCAATGGAAATCGTCATGGAAGGGCAGGCCGGAGAACCGTCAAGTTTGTTCTTCGGGGTGGTACCTACAAATACATTAATGTTCGGCAAAAAGTGGGGGAGGGGGGTAGTTAACATTACTGCCCCCCCCCCCACCTATGAAAAGTGGGGGGGGCACCGCCCCCCGTTCCCCCTATTCCTACACCTATGACTAGAACGCATGCTTATCAGACACCAGCACCTCGGTGCGATGGATATTTTTTCCCAAACCAAAATGCTTAGCCGTCAAAAAGCAATCGACCGAAATAGATACATAACTCACGGACACAAGACCAACCAAACGCCCACCGATCGAAAATACCCCTTATTCGCGTTGCGGAGCAAGCGGGTCACCCTAGCGGGCCCCATTCAACCGGGGACCCGGGCCCTATCCACACGGGGGCGCGGGCCCTATCCACATGGGGGCCCGGGCCACGTTCACCTGGGGCTCTGGGTCCCGTCCACCAGGGGACCCGGGTCCCATCAATCCGGGGACCCGGGCCCGGGCGTGCGTGCGTGCGTGCGTGCGTGCGTGTGTGTGAAACGAAGCAGTAAACGAGCTGCGTTGCGAGACGAAGCCGTAAGTGACCGTATCAAAACATGCGCCTTATAGTATGTCTTTATTCAAAAGGTGTTTGGCTTCAAGTACGTTTTTCGACTAACCACGTCCTTTAGCTAGCAAAATTAGGCGAAAACTGAACCTGACAAAATCGAACGTCGCCTAATTTTAACAGGTGTCAGGTGATTTCTTCCCGATAATTTCCATATGTATAATAATATTAATAATGTCCTTTATTTCATTCCATAGTTGGAACATATGTGAGCACACACTCTTCCTATTAGCTATAAGCATTGGACATGTAAGAATATTCAACGAGTAACAGAGAGGATGATTTCTATGGGATTTAGGAACACCGACCAGTTTTTCACACAGTGGTAAGCCACACACAATGCACGATAAGCCACTTTTGCACGTGATGAGTCCCTAAGTTCACAGCCATACGGGTTAGTGCAATAGGCCAGTTTGCAACAGTTTGATGAGAATCTCACAGCTGGTCTACCCCACCAAAACACGAGACATATTGACACTATAGTTAGTACAGCAACCGCTTTGTTTTCCTTATATCAATGCTAGCCGTTTTCACGACGGGCCAGCCGGCGAATGCACCTAATTTGACCAAATCTGCACCTAATCTGCACCAAAACGAGCACCAAATGTGTACCAAATGGCCGTCGTGAAAACGGCTACTGTCATTTAGGTCAGGCTCCAGGACATGGCATTGGCCAAGGTATTTAACCTGGGTTACTAAAGACAATCTGGTACCGTTTAAGCCTTAAGGTAATTACGAGCGAGCGAGCGCAGCGAGCGAGCGAGTTCATTACGGAGCGAGCGAAGCGAGCGTAGTCTTTCCTTAGATTAACGGAAATTTCTGAGTATGAGCGGCCGGCCGGCCGGCCGGCCGTGGTCACGCTTTTGCGAAGCTTATATCTCAGCAACCACTTGACCGATTTACATGCGGTAATTTTTGTAGGGTAGCTTCATTCCTTCTACCAAGTATTGGACTATTCCCGATGTATGTGGGTGACCCCTTATGCACGTGCCACGTGCAAAACCAAGAGGTGTCACTTTTGTAATTGTTGCAATATCTCGGTAACTACTGGGCCGATTGCGCTGAGAGTTGGCATGTAGGTAGGCACCCACTAGGCAATGCATATCCATGTGCCAGAGTTGGGGTGCTGCTGCACGTGCGCACGTGCAGGGGTCGATTCCAGATCTTGAGAACGGCTGGACCGATTGCGCTCAAATTTGGTACACGGTTACGGAGCAGTTAGTAGGGTGCCGTGCACAAGTCAGTTGGGACCCATTTTGCACGTGCGCACGTGCAGGGTGCCGCTTCCAGATCTCGAGAACGGCTGGGCCGATTGTGCTCAAATTTGGCACATCGCTAGAGACCGGTTAGTAAGGTGCCGTGCACAAGTCAGTTGGAGGTACCCCCTCGCAATTTCGCACGTGCAAGGCTCACCCTCTCGCTCGCTCCGTTAGTCGCCACAAAAGGCGTTATACTGGTACTGAATTAAGGAAAAATCCTGAGTATGAGCGGCCGGCCGGCCGGCCGGCCGTGGGGACGCTCTTCAAAAGCTAATATCTTAGGAACGGGACATCCGATTGACAAGCGGTCTTCTTTACTGAATGTCACTTGGACGTAAAAGTTCTGTGGTGTGGTGGCCACCATGCGTTCTTGCCAACCACCGCACGTGGCGCGTGGTAAAGTTGGACATTTTTTAAGAACCCCCAAAATTGCAACCTCAATAACGGCACAACGGTTGGGCCGATTGAATTGAAACTCGGTACACAGTTAGGTCTCCATCAGATAATTCATCTGCATGTGTTAAGGATGGGGTGCTACAGCACGTGCGCACGTGCAGGGGGCGCTCCCAGATCTCGAGAACGGCTGGGCCGATTGCACTCAAATTTGGTACACGGTTGGGGACCAGTTAGTAGGGTGCCGTGCAAAAGTCAGTTTGGACCCCGCTTGCACGTGCGCACGTGCAGAATGCCGCTTCCAGATCTCAGGAACGGCTGGGCCGATTGCGTTCAAATTTGGCACACCGCTAGCGACCGGTTAGAAGGGTGCTTTGCACAAGCCCGTTGGAAGTACCCTTTCGCCCTTGCGCACGTGCAGGGCTCACTATCTCGCTCGCTCGTTCTTCGCCCAAAAGGCGTTTTACTGGTGACTAGAGGTACAGGTTTACGCGATAACTGTATGTTTTGATTTATGTTATGTTACGGGTGCATTAGTTTGGGTGATTGACTTGTATTTTTAGCAGTATTATTGGGGTAGATTTGGGTAGCTGTTTTTAATTGAACTGTAAAGTATGATGGTGATGCATGCGAGTTGTTCGAGCCCTTTGTAAGTTAGGATGTTCCTCAATTCAACCCTACCCTACCCTACCCTACCCTACCCTACCCTACCCTACCCTACCCTACCCTACCCTACCCTACCCCTACCCCTACACTACCCTAACCTACCATACCTATCCTACCCTAACCTACCCTACACAACCCTACCCTACCCTACACTACCCTACCCTACCCCTACACTACCCTACCCTACCCTACCCTACCCCTACACTACCCTACCCTACCCTACCCTTCTCTACCCTACCCTACCCTACAATCCCCTACCCTACCCTACCATACCCTACAATCCCCTACCCTACCCTACCCTGCCCTACCCTACCCTTACACTACCCTAACCTACCCTACCCTACCCTACCCCACCCTACCCTACACAACCCTACCCTACCCTACCCTACCCCTAACCTACCCTACCCTACCCTACCCCTAACCTACCCTACCCTACCCTACCCTACCCTACTACTCTACCCTACTCTACCCTACCCTACCCTACCCTACTACTCTACCCTACTCTACCCTACCCTACCCTACCCTACCCTACCCTACTACCCTAACCTACCCTACTACCCTACCCTACTACCCTACCCTACCCTACCTAACTCTACCCTACCTAACTACCCTACCCTACTACCATACCCTACCCTACCCTACCCTACCTTACCCTACCTTACCCTACCCTACCCTACCCTACCCTACCTTACCATACCCTACTCTACTACCCTACCCTACCCTACCCTACCCTACCCTACTCCTACACTACCCTACCCTACCATACCCTACCCTCCCCTACACTACCCTACCCTACCTTACCCTACCCTACTCTACCCTACCCTACCCTACCTTACCCTACCCTACCCTACCCTACCCTACCCTACCCTACCTTACCCTACTATACCCTACCCTACCCTTACACTACCCTACCCTACCCTACCCTAACCCTACCCTACCCTACCTTACCCTACCCTATCCTACCCCTACCCTACCCTACCCTATCCTACCCCTACCCTACCCTACCATACCCTACCCAACCCCTACCCTACCCTACCCTACCTTACCCTACCCATACACTACCCTACCCTACCCTACCTCACCCAACCCTACACTACACTACCACCGACAGTCCAAGTTTCATCTAAATCGGCCCAGAAACGGCTGAAATATTGCAAAAACAAATTAATTGTATTTACTGGCGAATCCCCTTGGCGAGAGGTGCCTTATGTCGGCCTTCGTTGTCAAAGGTCAATGACCTGCCGGCTCTGATTATTTCCACTCAGTTTTTTAAGCGAACAACTGAGCCTAAAGCACGTGCCCTCTGCTCGGCGCCGGTCGCGGCCCTAATGCTAACCCTATGGCGCACATGAGCACGCGCCACGGGCGCACCCCCGGCCGCATCGTGCCCAAAATTTAATACGACCTGTTGAATTACGGGACCCACGAGTCGTGAAAATTTCACCCTTCTGCGTCAATCGACGGCGCCGTAATAAGCCTTTTAGGGAGTAACCCCGACGGCGGCGTGGGCGGCGGACTTTTTAGGATTTATAATATATAGATAGGAGCCTGAGAAGCGGATAGATGTGCAGAAGCAGCACATTCCGTAGGATTAAAAACCATGCACACAAAGGCGAATGTTGACATTCGCTTTTGTGACATTAGCTTTAGCTCGTGAATTAGTTTTTTAGTCCGGCCCTGGAAGGCGACAAAAGCACAATATCGTCTGCATATGCCAAAACATTATTGGGACGATTTCAGACATGACAGCAGATCTGAAGCTGCTGCAGCCTTTGAAGAAAATCATCAATGTAAACATTCTGCCGTCCATGCTAGTCCGCCGACCGTTCATACCGTCCCAGTCATTCGCTTCCCGGACCGATCACCCGAATATCGGCCCTCGGACGCTGAGGCCCAGGTAGCCGCCGTAGCCGCCTGCCGTGTCGCCCTTGTGGTACAGTCCGAGTCCCGAGAGCCAGCCGGCCGGCCGCGGCGCCACCGGCTGCGTGTCCAAAAACGGCAGCGTCGACTGCGCCGCGTCCTCGTCCAGGGAGCTGGCCTCGAATCGGACAGTCTGGCCGGGCAGGCTGTCGCGCCGGCTGGGAGCCGACGAGTGGGTGGATGGCACGGGCTCTGAGAGGTTGAGCGGGGGCACGCCGGCGGCCGGACGACGGCCCTCCAGCCATCTGCTGGAGGAGGTCTGGAGCGCGCCCGTCTCAGAGATGCTGGTCACCTGGGGGCGCGACCGGCGAGTCAGCGGCGACGGGGTCACAGCGACAGGGGTCACAGCGACAGGGGTCACAGCGACAGGGGTCACAGCGACAGGGTCACAGCGACAGGGGTCACAGCGACAGGGTCACAGCGACAGGGTCACAGCGACAGGGGTCACAGCGACAGGGGTCACAGCGACAGGGGTCACAGCGACAGGGTCACAGCGACAGGGGTCACAGCGACAGGGGTCACAGCGACAGGGGTCACAGCGACAGGGGTCACAGCGACAGGGTCACAGCGACAGGGGTCACAGCGACAGGGGTCACAGCGACAGGGGTCACAGCGACAGGGGTCACAGCGACAGGGTCACAGCGACAGGGGTCACAGCGACAGGGGTCACAGCGACAGGGTCACAGCGACAGGGGTCACAGCGACAGGGTCACAGCGACAGGGTCACAGCGACAGGGTCACAGCGACAGGGTCACAGCGACAGGGTCACAGCGACAGGGTCACAGCGACAGGGGTCACAGCGACAGGGTCACAGCGACAGGGTCACAGCGACAGGGTCACAGCGACAGGGTCACAGCGACAGGGGTCACAGCGACAGGGTCACAGCGACAGGGGTCACAGCGACAGGGTCACAGCGACAGGGGTCACAGCGACAGGGGTCACAGCGACAGGGTCACAGCGACAGGGGTCACAGCGACAGGGGTCACAGCGACAGGGGTCACAGCGACAGGGGTCACAGCGACAGGGGTCACAGCGACAGGGTCACAGCGACAGGGGTCACAGCGACAGGGGTCACAGCGACAGGGGTCACAGCGACAGGGTCACAGCGACAGGGGTCACAGCGACAGGGGTCACAGCGACAGGGGTCACAGCGACAGGGGTCACAGCGACAGGGGTCACAGCGACAGGGGTCACAGCGACAGGGGTCACAGCGACAGGGGTCACAGCGACAGGGGTCACAGCGACAGGGTCACAGCGACAGGGGTCACAGCGACAGGGGTCACAGCGACAGGGTCACAGCGACAGGGGTCACAGCGACAGGGTCACAGCGACAGGGTCACAGCGACAGGGTCACAGCGACAGGGTCACAGCGACAGGGTCACAGCGACAGGGGTCACAGCGACAGGGTCACAGCGACAGGGTCACAGCGACAGGGTCACAGCGACAGGGTCACAGCGACAGGGGTCACAGCGACAGGGGTCACAGCGACAGGGTCACAGCGACAGGGTCACAGCGACAGGGGTCACAGCGACAGGGTCACAGCGACAGGGGTCACAGCGACAGGGGTCACAGCGACAGGGGTCACAGCGACAGGGGTCACAGCGACAGGGGTCACAGCGACAGGGTCACAGCGACAGGGGTCACAGCGACAGGGGTCACAGCGACAGGGTCACAGCGACAGGGTCACAGCGACAGGGGTCACAGCGACAGGGGTCACAGCGACAGGGTCACAGCGACAGGGTCACAGCGACAGGGTCACAGCGACAGGGTCACAGCGACAGGGTCACAGCGACAGGGTCACAGCGACAGGGGTCACAGCGACAGGGTCACAGCGACAGGGTCACAGCGACAGGGGTCACAGCGACAGGGGTCACAGCGACAGGGTCACAGCGACAGGGGTCACAGCGACAGGGGTCACAGCGACAGGGTCACAGCGACAGGGGTCACAGCGACAGGGTCACAGCGACAGGGTCACAGCGACAGGGTCACAGCGACAGGGTCACAGCGACAGGGGTCACAGCGACAGGGTCACAGCGACAGGGGTCACAGCGACAGGGGTCACAGCGACAGGGGTCACAGCGACAGGGTCACAGCGACAGGGTCACAGCGACAGGGTCACAGCGACAGGGTCACAGCGACAGGGGTCACAGCGACAGGGTCACAGCGACAGGGTCACAGCGACAGGGGTCACAGCGACAGGGGTCACAGCGACAGGGTCACAGCGACAGGGTCACAGCGACAGGGGTCACAGCGACAGGGTCACAGCGACAGGGTCACAGCGACAGGGGTCACAGCGACAGGGTCACAGCGACAGGGGTCACAGCGACAGGGGTCACAGCGACAGGGTCACAGCGACAGGGGTCACAGCGACAGGGTCACAGCGACAGGGTCACAGCGACAGGGTCACAGCGACAGGGTCACAGCGACAGGGGTCACAGCGACAGGGTCACAGCGACAGGGTCACAGCGACAGGGGTCACAGCGACAGGGTCACAGCGACAGGGGTCACAGCGACAGGGTCACAGCGACAGGGTCACAGCGACAGGGGTCACAGCGACAGGGGTCACAGCGACAGGGGTCACAGCGACAGGGGTCACAGCGACAGGGGTCACAGCGACAGGGGTCACAGCGACAGGGTCACAGCGACAGGGGTCACAGCGACAGGGGTCACAGCGACAGGGGTCACAGCGACAGGGGTCACAGCGACAGGGGTCACAGCGACAGGGGTCACAGCGACAGGGGTCACAGCGACAGGGGTCACAGCGACAGGGTCACAGCGACAGGGTCACAGCGACAGGGGTCACAGCGACAGGGGTCACAGCGACAGGGGTCACAGCGACAGGGTCACAGCGACAGGGGTCACAGCGACAGGGGTCACAGCGACAGGGTCACAGCGACAGGGGTCACAGCGACAGGGGTCACAGCGACAGGGGTCACAGCGACAGGGGTCACAGCGACAGGGTCACAGCGACAGGGGTCACAGCGACAGGGGTCACAGCGACAGGGGTCACAGCGACAGGGTCACAGCGACAGGGTCACAGCGACAGGGGTCACAGCGACAGGGTCACAGCGACAGGGGTCACAGCGACAGGGTCACAGCGACAGGGGTCACAGCGACAGGGGTCACAGCGACAGGGGTCACAGCGACAGGGTCACAGCGACAGGGGTCACAGCGACAGGGGTCACAGCGACAGGGGTCACAGCGACAGGGGTCACAGCGACAGGGTCACAGCGACAGGGTCACAGCGACAGGGTCACAGCGACAGGGTCACAGCGACAGGGTCACAGCGACAGGGGTCACAGCGACAGGGGTCACAGCGACAGGGTCACAGCGACAGGGGTCACAGCGACAGGGGTCACAGCGACAGGGTCACAGCGACAGGGGTCACAGCGACAGGGGTCACAGCGACAGGGTCACAGCGACAGGGGTCACAGCGACAGGGGTCACAGCGACAGGGGTCACAGCGACAGGGTCACAGCGACAGGGGTCACAGCGACAGGGGTCACAGCGACAGAAGTAAGTAAGTAAATCAATGTAACAAATCTCGCTCGTCTGATCACCCGGCGATTGTTTCTGGCACACACCAACACATCCCACCTGAGCGCGGACGGTCAGATGGCCGCTGACCATGTGGAAGGCCGCGCCGGTCAGCACCTGGTTCTCCTGTCCTCGTAGCTCCTGCATCAGCACGCTGCGCTGGTAGTAGGAGAGTCGGACGTAGTCGCGATCTTCCTCGTCGCTGTGGGACAGCATAAGTCACCGGTAAGACGCCTTTTGACGCGACAGACGAGCGAACGCGATAGAAACCTGCACGTGCGAAAGTACGATGCGAGCTCTCCCTTTTTAATAGGTCCCCAACGATGCACCAAATTCTAGTGCAATTAGCCCAGCCGTTGTTTCGACGTGTAAGGAGCCTTTGCACTTGCGCACATGCAGTAGGCATTACAACCATGACGTCTAGTTTTAGGGGGGTTAACCCTATTAGTGGCAGGGGGGGGGGTTGTTTTCATCCACCCCTCAGGTTTTTCGGGAATATCTTCGAAACCGCTGAAGCTACGATGCTGAAATTTTCTGACTTTTCCTAAAACTAAATTGGGCACATTCCCTGAAAATTTCAAGTTCATAACTTTACCAGGGGCGGCTCCAGAGCACTGGGAATTGGGGGGTCCTATTCGTGAAGCGAGTCATTTGGGCGAAGATCACGATGCTGCACCAGTTTTACGAACAGTGAATGAAAGGTATCATGTGATACCATATATTACAGTTATTGTGCATCCTCTTTTGACACGTTTTTGCTATAATAGGCGGATCCAGGCGTCCAAAAAGGGGGGTTATGTTTTACCTCCCAACATAGGTGCCCTGACACCGCTTATGCATGACCAATACAATTGTAGTCGTTCTCTCCTAAGAAAATTGTAACATAACAAGACCATTACCACCCTTTTTAGATACAGTACCAACAAAAACCTTATTTACTATACTTTTTGTGTACCCCCAATCTCAATGATCTGTATCCGCCTATGATTTTTGAAAATGCATATTTTTAGGATCCATGTGAATTCCTGGTTCATTCTCTATCGATCGGCAAAAGTTGCGTTAAGATTGGTTCAGAAACCTGGCCGTGATAAACAGTCTAAAATGTATCTGCAATTTGCCCGTTTTTACCCCCCTCTACCCCCCCCCCTTGACATTTTTTAATTTTTAATTTTTAGAAATGTAGATCACGTTGAGCAAAATCGAATGCCGTTTGAATTTTGAAAATCGGCCCGTTAGATCTCGAGATATCAAGGGGGGGTCGTAAACAGCCCCCCTGCCACTAATAGGGGTAGCCAGGAGCCTGCCACTAATAGGGTTAAGTGGTTTTAGGGTAAATTTAGGGCCTTGACCATGACATTGCATGACATATGGAAAATGAAATGAAATGCATGGCCCGCATCTTCGTCGCATTTGGAGGCTGGATCCCTTGATCCTTCTACAACGTCGCTTTTCCTTGCATAAAGATGAAAACTAACCCACTTTTATTCGTAAAAGTTTACTTTCAATTGCTTAGCTAGGCAAAATAAAGCGATACCAGAGAACGCTAATTGGAGAAACTTTTTGGGGAGTATGCCCCTTGCAGCTCGCAGCATATGAAACCACTTTTTGAGATACGTCCGCATACGGCATAGGCTTCAGTGACGTCAGAAATCTGACGTCAGTAAAAATCTGTCAATCGTGTGGAACTATGACACTCAGGAAAACATGTCGACTTCCCGTCGAGTGGGTTATTTTTGTAAGTGTCACGCGCTCACCGGTCGGTGTCGATGCGCCGCGCGATCGGCTGCCACTGGACGGTGGACGAGAAGACGCCCCCCTCCGGAGCGGCCTTAGCCTGCTCCAGCTGGATGTAGAACACGTTGTTCAGTTTGACGAACCTGAGACAAATAGAAAGACTCGTTCGTGGTAAGCGGCGCCATGGAGCGCCCGTGCAGTCCTCTCATTTATGAACGTTCGTAGTCGTACACCCCACCGGCCATCGCGCGGGAGGTTATGATCTTATTTCAGTAAAATACGCTAATATCTCGATTACTCTGTTACAGAAAAGCACAGAGCCGCCGAGATTTAAATTGCCGCCAATTACCGTCCCGGTAAATTGAAAAGGCCGATCAACCCCTGTCTGTCCTTAACTAATTATATGTTTGTCGTGCAGAGATTCCAGTCAGCACCACTCGTGCTGGCTGGAATCTGCTGAAAAGTTGCTAAGTTAAAGGTAGAATAGATATGACTTCTTTCCACAAAGTCTGAGTTACCGTTTTATAAAACACAAGCTATAATGTAAATTAAAACCATTTTACTCAATATCTCACCGCCAATATCTCACCTTGAAGCCACTTAAGCGGGGAGCGCTGAGAATGACGGTTGGAAATGTACCTACTTGCATCATTTTTTTGATACTTACACGAAATCCTCTGAAACAAGCGTATTCCTGGCCTGAGATCTGTGTCACATCCAGCTAATTACCAGTCATCTTTACCTGCGTCCCGTAGGGCTATCGGCGAGCCCTGCCATCCGTAGGGGGGGGGGGGGGGGTCGGTCCCTATCCTAAGATCTCGAAAAGTTATTGACCGATTTTCAAATTTCTAATGGCATTTGATAGCCCCACCAGGGAACTACCTTGTGACCAAATTTCATTGGCCAAGGTCTAACCGATGACGTCAAAGGTCATGTCAAAGGTCGCATTTTTCACCGTTTACGGGCCTTCTAAGGAATGCGTTATCCCGCGACCGCCTGAGGGGGGGGGAGGGGTCGGATCCGACCCCTCCGTTTTTCATGAATAACTCACGAACCGCTTACGCTATCAACTTGAAACTGCGTATACCTTCTCCCTCATCAATTTGAAGTCTTTTGTCAAATTTTTATGCACATTTTTCAAAAACTCCTTGAGATATATCGATTTTATTGATGTAGCTACATGGCTTTTTTCGTCCAAAAAGGTAAATGTTAAAATCGCCAAAAATCAAGGGTTTAAGCAAATTGCAAAGTAAACACATGAATAGACGCAGCTCAATTGGTTAAAAAAATAAATATCTCGCTTTTCCCATAAAATGCGTTTTTAAGTGTAATAAGATGGCGAAGTACTAAAATGAGCAGCATTATTGAATATCGTAGAAGAATAACCTTATGCTCACTATCTTTACACAATCCAAAAATTAGCCTAAAATCAATGAATATATTTCGGAAACGTTCCTTCTTCAGTTCAAAAAGTTAACTATACAAGCCACAGAAATGTACAAATAATTGAACGTCACAAAAGCGCCGAATTCACTGATCCCACCAACGAATATTAGTCACATTCTCGTGCCATATAAGTAGAACGGCCTCTTTTAATCAACGCAAGACTAAAATAACAGGTATACATAAGGTAGCGTAACCAAATACAACTGTATGAGATCACTTGTGACCCAACGAATAATTATGCTAGTCATCTTAGAAACACACAATATAATTACAACTAACATGCAAGGTGTACACAACCAACTACTCAATAGATCGATTGTCTAGCCAACAAACTAGCCATTCATCCAATTGTTCAATCAACTAGTTACACCCATTACATTCAGTCATGGAGTCGACAAACCATTCAAATATCCATTCCAAATCATTCAATCAAACGTTTCATCATACAATCAAGCAGTCATTCAATCAAACAAACAACGATTTTATCATCCAATCAAGCAACCCTTCAACCATTAAATCAATCAGACCCACAGTCGTCCATTCAATCATCTATCAATCAACCATTCAATATTCCATTTAATCATACATATAATCAACCATTCAATGATTCATTCAAACATCGGCATTTGGTAAAACATCTAACTAAGCACCTCAAAAGCCAAAAGATCTAACAGTCATGAGGCTGTCCCAACATCTATCACGTCTCAGTCTGACAGTTCACACTAATCACAGAACTGCCCAAGATGCGATGTTGGTGTTTAGGGCTGGTCGGTATGTCCTTATCCATAGCGACTCTGCTATTTTTCTGTCTCTGCTGGTGTTGCATGTCTGTAGGATCTTGGCCGCGATGTGTTGGGGCTCTGGGCGACATCGAGGGTGGTCATCTCTGAAGTGGTCGCCCCACGGTGAGTCCATACGGTGGTTCTTCGCGTCCCGTAGATGTTCATTGTAGCGAAGTCGTATGTGACGTCCGGTTTCGCCGATGTAGCTCCGGTTGCACAGCGTGCAGGTAAGTTGGTATACCACTCCGGAACTGTGGCACCGGCCCTGTAGTCCTGCAGCACACGAGTGGCAGCGTGAGCCACCAGGACACGGAGGTGGTTTCAGGGCGGAGCGCACCAGCTGGTTCTTGATGGTCTGTTTGTTGGTACATCTTTACAGTACCAGAATGTAATGGGTGTAACTAGTTGATTGAACAATTGGATGAATGGCTAGTTTGTTGGCTAGACAATCGATCTATTGAGTAGTTGGTTGTGTACACCTTGCATGTTAGTTGTAATTATATTGTGTGTTTCTAAGATGACTAGCATAATTATTCGTTGGGTCACAAGTGATCTCATACAGTTGTATTTGGTTACGCTACCTTATGTATACCTGTTATTTTAGTCTTGCGTTGATTAAAAGAGGCCGTTCTACTTATATGGCACGAGAATGTGACTAATATTCGTTGGTGGGATCAGTGAATTCGGCGCTTTTGTGACGTTCAATTATTTGTACATTTCTGTGGCTTGTATAGTTAACTTTTTGAACTGAAGAAGGAACGTTTCCGAAATATATTCATTGATTTTAGGCTAATTTTTGGATTGTGTAAAGATAGTGAGCATAAGGTTATTCTTCTACGATATTCAAAATGCGTTTTTGACCCACAAAAATTCAAAAATCTATATTTTTGGAAAACAGCTCATAAAATCAAAAAATTTCAAAATTTTCAAAAAAACGGAATATATGTTATAAAGCTCTATTAAAACATAAGATGTCGCAAATTTCAACTTTCTATATTGATTTTTGACCCCTAAATTGTAAAAAATAGCTCCAACATGTATACCTAGGGCATGGTGACGTCATAAGCATTTTCGTGAGTTTAGGCACTTCTGAACATCGCATGTGAAAACAAATGGCAGCATTAGATTCCTGGGGCAAACCTCGTCTAGAAAAATGCATTTTTATGTAAAAAATAAAAAGTTAAAAAACTGACTTTTTTCTTAGTTCTCACTTGGTAATAGCCGTTTTCACGACGGCCATCTGGTACACATTTGGTGCACATCTGGTGCAGATCAGGTGCAGATTTGGTCAAATCAGGTTCAGTGTGTCTCTTAGTAGCTATCAGCTAGGGTTACACTAATTGCGCCTTATATGCCTGCTTTGTCGTATTATCAGAGAGCATCATCGATTAAAATACTGAAATGAATTCATAAAATGAAGATATTTGCTGTAAAAGAGATTAGGTGCAGATTTGATCAAATCAGGTGCACTCGCCGGATAGCCCGTCGTGAAAACGGCTAATGTATAGTATAAACGATTTTTTCTGCTTGCTGATGACTAGGACAGTGACTTTGGGTCACATATAACCATGACCATGGGGTTCGGCGTGAAAAATAAGCCATAAAACATGTGTCGCATGCCCATGTAGCAGAAAGTGAAAGCCGTGAATTTTCGTGACCTGACCTGATCTTGACCCGTGCTTAGTATGACCCCTATACGCACATGGTACCTTCAATAGCCTTTGAGGTCATTTTTGGTGAGTTTCGAGCAGGAGCTATCGATTCCGCTGTCCGTAAGCCTCATCATGCAAAACCCAGGAATTTGACCTCTGACCTGGCCTTGACCCGAAAGTTGACCTCAATCTTAAAATCTTAAGAGACAGAGACAGTTTAGGTTACTTTCTGGTGAAGGGCAGGTCAAGGTCAGGTCAAAAAGGTCAAATTATAAAATTGATATTTGTGCATAAAAGGTTCTATTCGATTCAGCTCGTCCCAGGAAATCCAGTGTGGTCTTTGTTTTACGCTAAGGGCCGCCGTCCACTAAATAAGCGCGCACATTTACGCGCTGAATTTAAAGTGACCACCATCCCACCTTAACATTAGTTTTGAGTTGAGATAGCCAAATTGGTGGCCATGGCCTGCAAATACCGGTTTGGGCACTCACAACATCGAAAAATGCTTTAATTCGGAAATATGGAATTTCAAACTTGCAGTTTTCGGATTCTAAGGGGCTAATGCATTGAGATGCCCCCTTAGAATTTGTGACGTCAGCGGTGATCTAACGACTTTAAAACCTTGTACTAACATCTTTGTGAAGCAGTGGTGGTATATGCTATTTGCGCGCAACATCTGCCGCAAACGCCGCACTTCCAAAATGAAGTCGCTAGGAATAGCGGAGATCCCCAAAAAGTAAACAAAAGTAAAAGTCTAATATCTTGAAAACCGGTGAATATTTTTCGGTGAAATTTGGTAGATATTCGTTTTTGCTCTTTCTGAACCAAGCGACATCGCTTTCATGCAAATTCATTAGCTTTTTTGAAGGTGGGAGGGTCCCTTTAACCCGCGCCCCGTACGTAGGACTATCGGCGGACCCTACCACCCGTAGGGGGGGGGGGGGGCTTTCGCCCCCCTAAGATCTCGGAAAGTTACCGGCTGATTTTCAAAATTCAAACAGCGTTGAATAGGCCTACAACGGAACTACCTTGTGACCCAATTTCGTTGACCTCGGTTCAACCGATGTTGTCACAGGTCAGGTCAAAGGTCAAATTTTTACCGTTTAGAGGCAGTTCAAGAAATGAGCTGTAAAATCGAGTAGAAGGCTCGTTATTGAAAATCATCGATAGGGGAATATCCGAAAAAAACACATATTTTGCTATTTGAAGTCATTGATACCATTGATTGCTTGACGTTAGGCGGCACGGGTGGACATCGATAGC